GTTGGATGAAATGGGATGCCAAACATTTGATAATTTACCAGACCTTGGAACTAGGATCCCTAAAGATATTAAAATGTCACTTTTGTATATAACAGGTTATGTTACAAGAAAAGATTATCCCATAGAAGAGAAAATATTTAATAATATTAGTTTTTATTTTCAAGCATATGAAAATTTTTGAAAGAAATAGATTGTGGTAATTTAAAAATTCCACTGGTATCCAGATATTTTTTATTTTCAATTTCCCCACTTTTTACATATATTTAATTGGTTAACTCCCCAAATTATCCTGTAAATTAATTTTGTGTTCTTGTTAATGTAAATAGATTTTAATTTTTAAAACTATGTATTCTGGTAATATCTATCATAGCGATTTCGCCTATTTAGGCATTTTCTTCATCTTCTGTGAAACAAATTGTACATATAAAAAATTCACAATAAATTTTGTAAAGATTATCAAAATTATTGTTTATTTCTTCTATTTTTTGTAAAGTATTTTCAGACTTTGTTGTTACACAATTTTGTAAAATGCTGAAATTACTTCCTGATTGTATTATACAATTATATTTTTTGCAACCAATTAGTATAAACAAATTAACTCATTATTTTTGCAATATCATCTAAAAATGTCTAATTTATGGTGAATAAAATAATTTTTGTGCATTTATTTATTTTATGGTATTTTTGTTCTTTTTTTGTACATTTGCATTTATAGAAATAAGTCAATAATTGTAAGATGCTTCCTAATATTACATACAGTTACTAATTAACTAATTACTGTACATTATTAACAAGTTCTTTGCTAAAAATGTTCTCAGGAATTGTTAGTGGTAATTTAGGTCTCCACATTGTTGCCCAGGCTTGTGTTATGGATTGCCTTGATCTGTACCTAAATACTCTAATTTCCATGTCTCAAAAACATTAAAATAGAATTTTACATTCTTACATTTTGGAAAACATTTAATTACAACAAAAATGAAGATTAAATGTTACTTAAGGATAAAGCAACATTAAAAATGGTGTATGAAGTATAGACTTGTTAAATGAGTAATAATCTTTAAGATTAACAAGTCAATTTATTCCTTATTATTTTTAGTTAAAATATAACATTTTTATATACTACTGATAATTCAATGTTTAAATAACTGTATTATCAACTTTTCTTGAAAAAAAAAAGTAAAATTCTTCATTAATTCACTACCTCATACAAATTGTAATTACTCTTGTACTATATACCTAAAATGTATATTCACCATTAGTGAAGACTTCAATAAATTATTTTTCCCTGTGTTTCAGTACACAATATTAACAAAAAAATATATCTATTTTCATAAGTTTTAAGTATATTAAAAACATCTAGGACAATGAATATATGCTTTCATTATTCTAATGAAGCATAAGTATAATTACTTTTATACTTGGATTTTATTAGAGGTATGATCGTATATCAAGTACATAAAAATATACTAAATCCAAGTCAATATTTATTGATCATACCTCCAAATTTGTCTTTAATATTATGGTTTATTTATGGATTTAATTCCATAGCAAGTGTATGTCAAATAAAATTTCTTATTTAATATAAGTTGTGTGTGTGTGTGTGTGTGTGTGTGTGTGTACATCTACTAAAAGTATAAATTTAGTAAATGTATTTGCATTGATAAGTCCAGGGAAAAACTACTTACCCACGAACAAAATGATCATCTGTATGAGGTAATTAGTTTGGATCTCATTAATTCTAATTCACTTATATGCTCTATAATAAAAATTATATTGAGCTCTCTTTTATGGATCAGTTTTAATATTTTATATTAATAGGATCTACTTGGCTTACATACCCACAGAATTTTTTTATCTGTTGTGTGTGTGTGTGTGTGTGTGTGTGTGTGTGTGTATATATATATATATATATATATATATATATATTGTGTGAGCATTTTTTCATTGATGCATGTTTCATTAAATAATATAGAGAAGTTTTGTCGATTTATTTTAAGCAAATTCCTTTCATATCATCTGATAAGCTTAATAACATTATCATTGAAAGATGAAAGAAAATCACCATATTGATACATGTTTTTTAACCCTATCTAAGCTTTCGGCTTACATAAGCCATTATCAAAGATAACAATTATATTACAATAAATTAAACAATACACAGACATAACAACAATGATAGCCTGTTTTGTTTGCATGGATGATTCCAAGCAACGACTATGCATAATTTCCTCCAGTTGGTGATTTTCTTTTGTCTTTCAATGATAATGTTATTAAGCTTATCAAACGATATTTTTGCAGATTTCAAAATCATTCTGGGGGGCTTCCCCCCCAAATTTCTGAATTTATTATGCACATGCTAAAAAAAAAAAAAGAAAAAAGAAAAAAAGCACACTATATAAAATTCACTATTTTTTATCCATAAAGTTGAATATGTTAAAATTATTCAACTTTTTAAAAAGAAAAACTGACTCAGTGCCTGAATCATAAATTTATGGTTATAAGCTATAAAGCAGCAGTCATTTCAATAGAAATTATCAAACTCACTGTGACAAAAACAATTGTGTCAGCTTTGCAGCAACATCAAATCAATGTTGATTTTTTTTGTTTTTACATTCAAAGTATTATTCACTTCCTCTGGATAAATAGCAGTTTTTACTGAGACATTTTCAAAAGACTAACAAAGAACATTGGGAATAAATATCCAGACAAGTAAATTCTCCATGGTGACAATACACTCAGCCAGACATCAATTCCTGATTTCTAATAACATCACTGTCATTCCTTACCAGTCTTATTTTCCTAATTTCACCCTCTGTAATTTTCGCATTCCCTCAAAATTCTCGCTAAATATGTCATTTTGACATTAGTGAGAAGATGCATGAAAAAATCACAAGTCATACTCAATACAGTTACACTTGAATATGTCCAGCAATGCATGAAATCTTGTAAAAATTGGATTACTTTGAAACAGATAATAGAAACTAAGGGTAATTTTTTAATGGTCATATTTCCAAAATGTTTGGATAACTGTGTGTGTATACATACATACATACACATTATATATATATATTACACACACAAGGGGATTCATTTTTTTAAATATCCTGTATATATAAATATACAATTAATGTTAAGGTCGATAATAGGAAGTAACACCACACATGCTATCTAAGTAATGTGTGCTTGCACATATGTATAAATATATGTATCTGCAAAGACAATATTAATAAAAGAAATGACAAGAGGAAAACTTTTTTTATGTTAGTGTGTTTTATTCCTTGAAGAACTTGAACAAGGCAAATGTAGAAATTTTATTTAGAAATCTGTACTTATGCATATAGAAAAAATGTAACAAATTCAAATTTGAATTTGAGAACTTTCTAAAATATTTGAAAATCTCTTGACTTTAAGGAAAGGACAGGAAAACTATGGTGGATGCTAAGTGAGATAAATTTTTGACATGTCGTTAAATGTAAGTGAATTAATATTGTTGCTGTTATTTTGTTTGATTTTTTTTTAAAAAAATCAATTTTTTTTATGATCATGCCTAATTATACTCGCACGAGAATGGAAATATTTTAAAAAAACTAGGGCATATGTTTATGTTTGAGCAAGTATCTATGAATTCACTTTTGGGAATGTTTTGCCTTATAAGTTATTTTCTCTTAATTAAGACAACATCTTTGAAATTGAAATTGTTGTTGAAATTATTTCTAATGCATTGGATAAATTATGATCTCTCTTATGCTCATTAAATATACTTTTTTAATTTCTGAAAGTTTCACCAATATATTGTAAGGAACAAGGTTACAGTATATCTTATATATGCCTGCTTCAGAATAATTGCTATTATGGTATTTTTATTTCTGATCATATCCCTAATAGTTTCGGATATAGAAATAACTGATTTAATATTAAGATTGGATATATTATTTATATATAAGATTACCTCTCCTTACTCATAAGGTGTGGGGAGAGGTAATTTATGTAACTAAACATTGTTCATAGTTTTCTTTTCTTTAATGATTGGAGGATTTTGTAATATTTTAGAATGTTCTCTAATTTAAATTTGAATGCATAATTTCATTTTTTTCTCAATGCTATTTTTCTGTGTGTATAAATATAGGTTTCTAAATAAAATTTCTGCATTTGCCTTGATAAAGTTCCTCAATGAACAAAATGCATTGGCATAAAAGGTTTACCTCTTGTTATTTATTTATATATACACACACACACACTCATTATTTGGAAATAACATTGTCCTAATAATTTTTTTTAATTTTACCTGAGCATGACAGTAATGCCACAGGCATACAAGGGTTTACAGGGAGTGAAAGTGAAAGAGAATGGAGAAAATTGAGGAAAGGACAAAAAGGAAACAGAGTTCAGAAAGACAGATAATGGTGATTGACAATGTATTTAAAATTTTGAAGATTTTAGTTTTCAAGGAAATTGGAAGAGAGTTCCACAAGTGGGAAGTGTGAGAAAAGAAACTGTAAGAGTAGAAGTGTTGGTTGCATCTAGCTATTTCAACAGTAAAATGGTGGGATCTAATTGCCAATCTAGTAGCATGCTTAAATCCAAGTAGTTGGGACACCAGTGAATAAGGCTCATCAGAGCAGTTACCATGAGGATATCTGGAGAAAAGACAGAGGGAAGTCATGTCATGGGTGAGAAAATAAGTGAAGTCAAGATGTTTGGTCTTGATTCAAGTACATTACAGATCCTTCTTTGCATTGTCAAGAATCTTTTTTAGAATTAGTTACCTATTTTTTAAAGTTCTGCAAATTGTACCATCCCCATATTTCCATATATTTGTGCCTGCATCTACCTGCAAGTGGAGCTACTACTGTTGTTAGTTACTTCATCACTTGGTGTGCATGTACCATACCTTTTATATTTAAGATTTAAAAAATTGTCAAATCTGATATTGCTTCCATGATTTTAGGAATTGTTAATTTAAATAATATTGTGCTTTGTGTTTAGAAATTGCTTTGTAATTACTTGTTTTTAGTAGTGCAAATAGATGGAAAGAAAACCGAACATTTTGTGGTAAAAAAGAAAATTGTTTTTATTCTACCATCACAGCAGCATATTCCTCTGAACGATGGCAGGAAATATGAAATAATACTCTGTAAATGAATTTTTTTCTCTTTTTACAAGAGTGAGAATTTTGTTACATTGATAAGCTCAACAACAGAGATAGGCAACAAACTAAACAAAGGACAAGAAGCAATTTGACTTTGTAGAACAACACTGAGAGTCAACTAATGGCACACTGGGGAAGATAAGCCTGAGTGTTTAAAATTTATTAAGAGTTAGAGTAATTAATCATTTGCCAATTCTTTAGAGCATCTGGAGTTTACTTGAACTATGAATAGAGATGGTCATTTTTTATCATTAATTTCAACTTATCTTACTTCCCATGGAAAAAAAAATATTGAATCCCCAGTCAGCTCTGGTTGTTATCATAACTACAGAGATAAATAATATTATGGTATTTCTGACTTAAATATAATTCTTTCATAATCTCATATGGGAAACCTTTTGATTATCACTCAAGTTTGCATATTTCTGCCTCAGGCTTTTTTTTTTCTAAACTTTAAAATACTTGTTTAACTGTCCAAATTTAAAGGAAAAATGCTTTTCTTAAATTAGCCTTTTCCAATCTTAATAAAATCAACTTTCTTAGAAAATGTCTGTTAATGCAATTTATCAACTTGACAGGATCACAATAGAGATGTATTAACTTTTATCTAGTGAAAAGCATGCAGAGAAATTTTAAATGTTATTGATTATATGATCTAAAATAATTTTGTGCTGTATTTTTCTGTTTTTCTTTTAAGGATTGTCTAAACAAATCCATTTCATGCAAATAAATGCTCATAGCAAATTTAGAGATGCTCAAAATCAAACTTTTTGTAGGGTGCACCTGATTCTTACCTGGGACTCTTAGTCTATCCTTGCTTCGGCCTAGTTTAAATGCATAGAAAATGGAAAAAAACTATTTTTATCAGTTTTGAAATGTAATGAAAGGAAATTTCTGATTGCAATCTATATACAAAACCCCACCTGTTAATGAAAATTCTCTTTTTGCATATTAATATATGATACTTTAATGTAACAGACAAAATTACAACAGGGTAAGGAATATATGAATAATAAAAAAAATCAATAATTTATGGTATAGATTGTGAGTAAAAAAATGACATAAGTTTATATTCATTATTTATGCTTTAAAAATGATATTCAAATTATTTAAAATCTACTAGAAGAACAATAATCTATTACCAAAAGATATATGAAAAAATACCTATGTACCTAGTTGGGCTACACACAAAAAATGTTGAAAATTGTGAAAAAAAAATTTAAAATAATAGAAAAATGTGTGATGACAGGATTATAAATACTAAATAACAAAACATTTATTGAAACACATGTATTAAATATAAGAGATAAAGGTGCAGATGTACCAATTTGACAGGGTAAAAAAGTGTACAATTATTTAAGTAAAAATTATAATAATTTATACAAATTTTTCAATAATTGTTCAATGATTTTTTTAATTATCAGATTAAGTATTTTGTTAAAGTTAAATGATTTTATTTTTTTAAAACACAATTTCTTTCTACCTTATTTATATGGTAGACTCTCAAAAGGAATCAAAGTCATTTAATCAGCATTCATTAAAAATGATATGGGAAAATATTTGATACAAATGAACACCAAAACTTTAGTTGGTAATCATTTATAATTTTAACAAAGGAAAAATTTGTTGCTTATTTTTTGTTTGAATTTTTACCTATGATCATACACATACAATATACACACACAATATATATATATATATATATATATATATATATATATATATAAGTCATACATAAATGAGGGATGAACAAGAAGTTAGTTACAAATATTTACTAATCCAATAAGTTTATTACTACACAAATAAAACATTGCGTGTATATTACCTACAATACTGTTACATGTAGTCATCATTGTGGTTGATTAAAATGTGAATAAATACACTCAAAGAATGCAGTATCAAGGAACTAGAGCCACCTTTGTCTCTCTGCAACAATAGTGTGCAGAATCATTTTCTGGATAAATGTCATTTGATGGTCACAAACAGATAACCTGAAAAAACCAAGGGGATGTAATAAAAACATCCCAGTCATATGGCTGAAACGATTCTTTTCTCAAGTAGGCCATGTGAATAGTGGTATTATTATACAACAGTATGACACTCTTACATAAACATCTTTATCCAGTGTTTCACAGTACCTGAGTGTATTAACTGTTGAACCATGGGGTATCAAGTCCACAACAACACACCTTTTGTATCCCAGAACATTTGTTCACTACATACCGAATTTTATATTTTTGAAGGGTTGGTGATGATGGATGCTTCACTGCTCAAGATTTGCATATGAGATAATGTGATGCACCCAGTTCTAATCACCAACAGTCATGCTACAGAAAGTCCCCCATCAGTGCTCTTACTCCCATTCTAAAAGCTGAAAAGAAATATTATATGCTGGAAATTATGTTCTTCAGTCAATTGCTTTCAGGTCAAAAGTAAGTTATATTTTTACCCTTGACATACAAAATTCTTATTAGACCTCACACATCTATCTTCGTCTACTGTGTTATGGTGGTAGTCATCTTTGTTGTGATATAACATATACATATGCTCAATAATAAGACTGCAACAATATGTATTTCCTGCTGCCTTGTGTTTACAACTTTCACAAAATTTTAATTCCTGTTGATTTATGCTAATCTGTACCTTATTTTTCAGATATCTTGTGTGTGTGTGTGAGTGTGTCTGTGTGCGTGCGTGAGGTTTATTTTTGAGTTTTTGCATTATTATTTTAATATCTAACCAGATTTACCCAATCTAATATGATTTTAAGTATTTCTTAGTAATACCTTTTTATTTCACCTGTTTTCCTTTAAATACAAATGAAGAACTTTTTATTTATGAGTTGATTATTGTGTATAATAATCTAGTTAGAGATTTTGAAAAAGAATGTTGAATTAAAGATTAAATAGTATTATTCATACACAGAAGGATAAAAATTAAAATGTGCTATAATACACTTATTCAATGATAAATATTAATATTCAATTTTAATTCTTTAAAATTTGGAAAAATATAAATCAAAACTTCCTTTTTGAAGGCATGCATTTTTAGCATAATTTCTTATAATAAATATATAGGACAATTTGAAAAAAACTTCTACTTTGACATATTTTGTTGATGAACCTAAATTTTCCAAATTGTCTTATATATTTATCATCAGATTCTCATCCAAGTTTACTCACACTTAATTTCTTATATACTTTCAAAAACTAAATATATTTTGTATTTGTTAAAAGAATAAATAAGAGTGCACAAGGAGGAATTGTTCTATAACAGCTATTCCAAGAAATATCTCTGTACATGGATGGTGAACACTCTTACCTTGTTTAATCCTGTCAGATCCTTTACAAAGAAAATATGGTATTCATACATGAATTTATAAAGCAGACAGAATTATATATATATCAACTGACACATAATTAACTTTACAGATATTTTCAAAAAATATGATTTCTTTTTTAACTGTAATGATGATGATAAAACTGTTGATAATATGCTAAGTCACCAGAGATCATGTCAGAAAATTATAAACATCCAATGCTAATTTAGCATTAATAAAATTATCTTTTATTTTTATAAACCTTAACAGCAATATTTTGTCCCATATCTAATAAAAAATGCGTTATAAATGAACAGTTATTATGAATATTAATGATATTATGTAAGTAAAATATTTTGTATAAATTAAAATTGACAGTTGCTTGAATTTGAAAAGCCCTAGCTATAAGATGTCAAGATGCTTAAAATATGATAATATTTTAAGCATCTTAAATATGTTTGGGTGAATAGGCAAATTAAGCATCTTAAATATGTTTGGGTGAATAGGCAAAGTACAATAAAGTCTACCTTTAACTTATTCAACTAGAAGGTAAGCACTATCATCATACAACAAATAACATCTTTTCAATTCATCAAAATGAGGCAATCATGCATGAGTTTTGAATGCAATATTTGAAGCCAGTTAAATGTATCTGTGCATTATACATTTACTTCGAAATAGCTATGGTATACTAAATCATACTTGCTCTCTTGTTATAATTACAGCACTACTATTAGCAATGGATTTCATGACCTAATCACTGATCTGGTGATGTCTTGGACAAGAGACTCCTTCACCTACATGTTTAGATCTGAACAACTGTATGTGTACTCATTTTATTTCATTTTTATCTGTCTGGTGATTTGTTCAACTGTTATTCTAATACTAGCAGGATCAGATAGTTATACTAATTTACTAAGTTATATACAAGTTAATATTATTCAGTTCCTTAACCCATATAATTTTTCAAAACTAATTAACTTAGTTACTTAATTCTTTTTCAATCCTTTATTCCAATACTCATTACATGCAACCAAGCTTTCTCACACATTCTACCCCAGTTCTATACCATAAGACTAGGCCTTACTACATTTAACTTTGTTCAACCACTGTCAAGTCTCCTTTGTGCACTACTTGCCTTATATAGGTGGGTCACCGTTCATATGACATTATGGTTTTACCATTGTACAGATCATCTCTGATTATTATACATGATACAAAATCCAATACAGTAAAGTCTTCTTCATGTTCTTGAAATTATTTATGTACAATTTATGCAATGTGGTGGGGTACAATATATTGCTAAAAGAGGCTACTGTTATCATGGATAACATTGCCATGAAGGGATGTATTTGGTCTTCAATGATGCTTAGGTTCACAGTATGTAACAAATTACCTTCTTCATGCCATTACACTACTTGCATAAATTTGATGATCTCCCACAGTGTATCCTGGTAGCATCACTTACCCAAGATAATAGCACACACATAACCTGCTAGTGAGGAAAAAGTTATACTCAGCAGACCAAGCAACCTTACTGATACAATATCCAGTTCTGATGCTTGTAGTATGCCAATACTCTTTGCAACAGACATTGGTTAGCATGACTGGCTTACATATGCAATTCCATATGCAACAAGATTGGTGTACTGTGTTGTGACACATTCCTTTCCTTTCCTCTGTTGGCAAAGCCTGCATTTTCTTCTTACAGTGATATTTTACATGCCTAATACCTTGTTGGTAATTGGTATTTTCCATGCTCAGACAACTGCCACTAGTTACTACAACAGGAACATTCCTCAAACTGTGCCTTTCTGGAAATATTCTTAGCAAGTTTTCAGGCCATAGCAATTTTTTTAAAAAAATCACTTAAATTTTTCTTCTTGCTCATAACTCTGGTATTTTCCACCTAAAAAGAGTAGAGGCTAGTTTATATACTGCTGGATATATATATATATATATATATATAAACTAGATTGCAGATGTCAGGATCTGACATCTGCAGTTATTATAAGACAGTACTTGCCTGATCATGTTTTGGCTCATTGGTGTAATCCAGCTGTTACACTGGAGTTTATTATGAGAGCTCTGAATAATGTTTTTTTACCTTCAAGCACAGCCAGAAATTGGTGTTTTTAATCAACTTCTTGGTTTTTTAAACTGAAATATCCACTAACCACTTTTTGAAATCAAAATTATATTGCTCATTTACTAACATTACTTTTCCAAAACATGAAATTGATATTCCTTACAATTTCAGCTCTAGATAAATTTACAAGTATAATGTATGAAAATCAAGAGTTGAAGAATTTTTAAATGTTTCATTTTGAACAAACTAATATAAAAGTTGTTAAGTTGGTTTAGACAGTTTAGAAGTGTGATTATCAGCAAGATTCAGTTAAAATTGCAAAATTTTCCCTTTAGAATATTACTCATCAAAAATATTCAGTTAAAAAGTGAAAATATTTTGACTATATAATTATTATAAATAATAATGATAAACTTTAATTAAAGATTAAGATCATTTTTAATTTTTTTGTTAGGTAGATTTTAAAATCACATAGTAATTTATTACAGTTACATGCAATATTATTTTGGTAAGGAAAGCCTGATTTAATTCATGAGCACTAAATCTTCAAAACATTTCACATGCTACTATTTGACAAATTTTTTCAATTAACTCAAATTATTTTAAACCTTTGGAGATAATTTTCATATCTTGAAATTATAGGGCAAATTGAAATATTCAGCACTATGAAAGTTATAACAGTCAAAGATCTTGCTGGTACAAAATTTAATTAATGCCATAAAAAAAGATATAATTATTAAAAACAAAATTCTTTACGTAAACAAGTAGAAAGCTTATTAGGTCTCAATGTGATTAGTTTGAAACATAAATATGCATATGTTAATATATTATCAATTTCATGTCCTCAATTTCTCCTTTTTAGTTGTGATGTATAGCATTTTATTTTCTTCAATCTAGCTGTGATGAGAGAGAGAGGAATGAGAATAGGTCAACTGTTTTTATTTTGTTTATTCTCACATTTTTAATATATATTTATTATTGAATTGTGATTTATGGTGACTGTAATTTTTTCTTTTTAATAAATATGCTTCTTTTTATAGCATTACCCAAGAAAAATAAAGCTTTAAATAATATATGCATATAAAAATCCTTTATGTCTTAAATTTATTTAAGAGATATTTATATGCTGTGTATGTTTGTGCATAAATCCCTTTTCCTGAAAGTTTATATTAAAGGGAAAAAGTCTTACCATGTGTGACAGTAAGTATGACTGATGCTGATGTATCTTTCAACATTGCAACCACTTCAGTGTGGGTCAAATCTTTAGTGGACATTTCATTAACAGCCAATATTTGGTCACCAATCTGGAAAAAAAGTAAAAGAAAGATTCTCAATTTATAAAAATCACCTGTATACAAAAATAAAATTCTTTCATAATGGAATAAAATATTACTGACAGGCACAAAAAAACTGTTCTTTTTATATTACTGTTTATTACAGTTTACAGCTTTAAAAACAAAAAAGGAAAAGAACAATAATGTTATTATAAGAAACTCGCCTTTAACTTCTCAGTTTGTGATGCAGGACCCCCAGGATGAAGATTTGTTATGACCACTGGTGTATCTCCCAGTGTACTTCCCACACCTCCAGCAATACTGAGACCCAGAGAGCCTCTAGCATCATGAGCCACTTCTACAATGCGCACATGAGAAATATCTTCACTAGACACTGAAATTAGATTAAGTTCAGAAAATGTTTTAGAGATAACAATTATTAGAATTCATTAGTAGAAAAAAGAAAAATTATAACTCTAGTTGATAATATAAACTGATTTTGAAATCAGTCTTAGAGATAAATTTAATGCAAAATAAAGGTTTTTCCCAAGAGGCACCATTAATGTTAGTTCAAGTAAATCAAAAAAATTCTCTTAGAATACTTAATGAAATTATGTCACTTATTTTCTAGTTGCAATAAATTTAGAAAATAGTATAAAATGAACCAATATCATAAAAAAGCTTCAAGACTGACCAACATAAGCAGCACCAAATTAACAACTGAACAAAAAACAATTGCTATAAAGTGCTAATGATGCATACAGATAAAATTCACATCAAATAAATATATCCTGAAAACTTTATCAATATTGATTTGCATAATAAAATCTGATATAATGTATTCAAATAAATAGAATACTAAATTGTTGGAAATCTTTTAAACATCATATCATATATATATATTATACACCTGATGAAGGCTGAAAAATGGATTGGCTGAAATTTTGTGATAACCCCAAGAACATAAATGTGTTCAATTTGTTTGAAAATGTTTTTAAATATTCAAATGATGACAAAAATGCAACTTTTATATTAACTTTTTATTTTTCAATCAACTATTTTTAACAAAATTGCTTCAGAAACATCAAGTATTATACCTTGAAACAGTAATAAAAGAGACTAAAGTACAATACACTGGCATGCAAATGTTTTGGGTCAACTACATAAAATTATTATACACCTTTATTTTGTTAAGAAGAGTATTTTATCAGTAGTAGGTTGTGGACCTTGAAGATTGGAAAATATGTTGTTGCATTTTGTAGGTGCCATGTAACAGAAGATACACTGTTTTAAGTTACTTAAAGCTGAAAAATGACATGCAAAACTGTTGGGTAAATGAAAAATCTGAGATCATAAAGTCACAATAAATTTTTAAGTAGGTATTGTTCCATCTTATTAACATGAGTGTAAAGTGCCTGGATAAGTCATTGTAGTTGAACATTAGCTTGATTTCTTAAACTAAAATCATGGATAAAACAATAAAGGTTGTTACTTTGAAGAGGAAGAGAATGAAATACTGCAAGATACACCACAAAGATAGTAAAATTAGGTGGTGGACACATAATGGTGGTGGTGGTGGGGTTGCATCAAAAGCAATGGTAGAAGAAAATTAGTAAAAGTTTATTGAAACCAAAACAGTGAAAATTATATTAGTTTACTGTGGCCTAATCTGCCAGACTATGAAGAATGAGAAACTTTTCAGCATGATGGTGCTCCATTCCACACATCACATGCAACAAAAAGGTTTCTTGTGGATGAAGATGTTCAACTTTTAGAAGACTGTCTAGTACAAAGTCCTGATCTCAATATAACTGAACCATTGTGGTGGGTAGTGAAGAAACAAGTGTGCCAATGAAAACCATGCAAACTCCAAGTGGGATTACTGCTAAGAAAATGGGGAAAATTTCCAATGTGAAAATCTGTACCTTATTCCATTCAATGCCACATTAAATTGAGGCAATTATTCAAGCCAACAGCAACACCAATTACTAGTGCCATACATTAACGTTTTCTACTTTCTGTAATAATAAAGATCACTTTTTGCAAAAAGAATAAATAAATAGATTACTTTTTACCTTAAGAAAGGAGCTGAAATGTGAAATTTTCGCTGGTGGTCTAGTATTTTTAGATGACCATTTTTCAGTATCACAAGGCTTAAGACACTCTATCATCCACCATACAACCTTAATAAAAATGCAGTTCCTTGTTTTCTGATCTTCAAAGATCATAAAATGAACTGAGAAAATCATTCTCAATTTTGGAGTAAAATTAACAAAAATACTTAATCTAAACAAGCTGGCCCCAAAATTTTGCACAACAGTGTATAAAGAATACAAAGAGTTGGAATTCAGTGTTAAAGGGTTACTTTCAATGTTTTGACATTAAAAAAAATAATCATGCAAACCTACGATCCTTAATATTTAAGAAAAGGTCTCAGACAAACCATGCAATTACAAATGGAATTGTTATTAATTTAAAATAATATACTTTCTCACTGCATTGAAAGGGTAACAATCTTCAGTCTCAAATGCAAATTATTAGCTAAAAATTTAGTGAAGTTTGAAAATCTTAGAACACGACAAAAACCCATCTTGAAACAAAACATTTTCATTTTGAGGTAAATCAAGATGATCAATAACTTTACATTCTTGTTCATCTGGATGTAAAAAAGGCCTTGAAGTATTATTTCGATGATAGAAGGGAAACAATTCTAAAAACAGATTATAGAATTATATATAACATTTCCATTTTTAATATAAATAGATTTTGTTACTATAGGAAAAATCATCAATTCTTTAATTTGAATTTATAAAATAAAATCTAACAGGAATAATAATTTCAGGAGTAAGATACCTGTCTAATTTTCAAATCCTCTTTCATAATTTTGAAAGTTAATGCTTCTTTTTAAAGAATAAAGTAATGCAAAATGTAAATTTACTTAAAATATTCTGAAATTAATTACCCAAATATGAAAAATCAGTGACATTATTTAAAACTTTCATATAAAATATAGACATAAATATATCTCTGAAAGAAAAAATTAAAAATAGAAGAAAAATAATAATAATAATAGTTTAAATGAAAAAAATAATTTTAAAAATTAGAGAATTATATAGCAATCTCAAATTACAAAATATAAGAACGATATCCTAAATAAGTGATTCTCATAAATTTTGTTCTGAATCATATTACTTGAAATATTATCCATTTCAAATAAGAATAAACATAATAGCAGTTAAATATTTATTTAAAGAGATAAGTTTTAACTATAAGTATTAAAATCTATGTCCCAGACACTTTAAAGTGAATTTCAATCAGCTGTCACACTAAATTTATTGCATATATCCACTAAAAGCAGAAACTTTGTCTTTTTGTATATGAGCACAATAAATCATCACAGATATGTAAATAGAAATAAACAGGTATCAAGAATACATGCACTGAAATTTTTAGTCACATCTTTGTCATGCAGCATCCTTTCTGAAACAAATAAAAATCTTAAATTAAACATTAAATCATCAAAAGGAAACCAAGAGAAATTTAGGCAACCATTTTGTTAGGTTCTATGAATCAAAATTGGAAACTGAGTTCCTCATAAAGTTTTGAGTGCATTTATTGAAGAAATAAATTTCTTGTTTGAGCAAAAAGAGAAAAGCTGACATGTACATTAGAATTGTTTAAGGATCTACACATAACATAAATTATACAGTTGAACATTTGCAACAGAGCATATTTTTTCTTTTTCCAGAAACCATATAAATTATCAAATATAGTCATGATTGCATCGTGGAACAAAGCATTTAAAAGTACTGAGGAAAAAATTTACTTGAAACTTGTGAATATGAAAATTATTCAAGGATTTTGTGCACATGAGAAATATAAACTTTAAAAATCTGAAGTTTTATCTGATTTTAATAATTTTATGTTAATAAATATTCAGAATACCTAACTGCCACTAAACTTTAGTCTAAAAAATTTAAAGCAATAATATATTTAATACATGTTTGTACTGCTTTATTAAAACATGATATTTTTTTAAGACTCAGATAACTGAAAAAGAAAATCTGCATTTCTGAAAAAGCACAATATTCTTACTTCTTTAGTAAACTTAATGGTCAAACAAGTCTTAATTTTAATACTTTCAGTAAAATGCAATAAGTATACATTTATTTAATGGTGAAACTTTGTTTATGAAGCCACTTACTCTGGTTTTCTTTTGAAAAATTTTTATGAGACAACAGATTTCTAAAAACAAACACAATAGGACAATGTTCATGTGCATGCACTAAAATATTATTTTCATGCTAACAGGCTTTTAAAAGTTAATGTATGCAAATGAACAAATCTATAGAGACAGTTAAAACAGGCCTCAATACAAAGGGGAATTTTAATGATGACTTTAATGTATATATTTGTTTATATCTGTAATTAAAAAAAATTATGTTTGTTTTACACGTAAAAAAAAAAATTAACTAATTTGTGGGAGGTAAAAAATTTTATTATGGCTTTAAAAAGGGAAATTTTAAAAAGTATATATTCACATAATATATACAAATATATTAAAACAAAGGGGAAGAAGAGAAAAGAAAAGGAAAAAAATATTACTAAAATTGAAAGAAAAATGCCCATTTTTAAAGCCATAATGAAAAAATATTGTTAATGAAAATAAAATGCAAAAAGAGGTAAAAATGAATTTTAGAACAGAGATAAATTTAAACTACTAAAGTTTTCTTTCTGGGATAATATTAATTTAAAAATTCCAGATACTTTTTCATAGCTAAGTAAGGTTCATTTCTTCATCAATTCTTTTTCTTCTGAAAAGTAAATAGTTAAAAAAAAAAAAAAGCAACAAAAAAAAAAAAAAACAATATATACCTACCTCACTTACTTTAAAAGTTTAAAAAGTATGACATTGTTAAAATTATTAATTGTGATAATAAAATACTTATAGTGAAATACACAAGTAAATTTTATTTTCAAGTGTTCACACACAGAAAAGAATATTAAAAATAATTTACTCATGCATAAAAATATACAATATTTTTAAAAATCATACAAAAAGTTTTAAAGCAAATATCAACAAGTAATGTTAGACACAGAAAATGTTAAACAATATTGATGCTCATAAAAGAACAAGTCAATAATTTGCATAACACACAACATTAAAAATATAATGTTCCTAACCTTGTAAACTATTCCAGTTTTCTACTAAGTTGGAAAATCTGTCTGCTCTGTAAGGTACTGGGTAGAGTAGCTAAAGGCAGTGAATATGTCCAAGGGTGTCATGAACAACTGCAGTCAATTGGCTGCTTGTAATTTGAAAACATACTGTTTGGAAATAACTAAGATTTCATTATGAAAACCACGTTTATATTAATAAATATAAATATGAAC